CCACAGCCTTGGCACAGCAAAGCGAAGAGCGGCAAGGTGAGAGAAACTGCCCCTTCTCACAGCCATTCCCGAGTCAGTATTTTTATCCTCCATTCCTTCCTTTTATTCACCTCAAAAGTCGAACAGTAATCCCCTCCCGCCCCACTTCCTCCACGGAAGGACACAACCCTAGAGCCCAAGCGACAGCCCAGTCTAACCTCTACCCTGTTCCATAGGGCATGTCCTGCTCCCTACTCACAGGGAGGAAACCTCTCACCTGGGAACCCTGCCTGGCAACCCAGACCATTTCTTTCCTGAAGGAAGCACAGAACGATGGAAAGCAGAGCAGCTTTCAGCAGCTTTGTCCCAACAGGCCCAGATACACTCTCTGCCTGCAGTTACCAACTGACAGCTGGCATCGGGAGACAGGAACAATTTTTGCTGTAGAAGGGCTCTTCCGCTCCCTGTCACGGAGGAGAGAGACAGGGCCACCTTAGTTACCACAGCCTGCTCTACCTGAGCTCCACAGGCCGTAACCCTCCCTCATGGCACTGGCATTGCTCCCTCCTCACTACAGTGCCAGAATACCTTGCTTAAAGAGTCCCTATTAAAAGACAAATATACCAGCCTTACCAAATCCAAATTCAAGTTTTGCCTTTGTTTATTTTGCAGCTTGAAGGCTTCATGCCCCTCTCACCTTCTGCTCCCTGTGTGGCATTTCACTAACAGAACAACGCTGATGTGTGAGAAGCTGCTAAAAACACTGACAGAAACCTAAAATGGCACAGCTCTGTTTCCAAAATAACATACTGGAAACAAAACAAATCTAATGATCTCCTTCAGTAACTTCAATGCGTAGATTTGAAGGGTTACATCAAAACAAATCAGCAAACTGATTTCTGAATTAGCTTGAACTATCACCAATGCTATTTAAACAATTTTTGACAATGTTTTACATGGAACAGTTTTTGTTCACTCCTTTTCTCCTACCATTTACTTGTCATGTTTAGTCAGAAATTCTTGTACTAACATTTTGTAACCATTAAATCCCTTATATGCTGCTTTAATATTTGCTACAAGTAGAATAAGCAAAACCACGTATTAAATACAGTATAACACATCCAGAGGAAAAAGGCCCACCAACCAGGAACCAAAGTCATCAGAGGCTTTCCCCACCCTGCCGACAGCATGGCTGATTGGTTTTCAAACAGCTCATTGTTCCCTCCTGTCCTATCTGAGAAGGACAAACTGACAGCTCACCATACCGACTCGCCATGAAAATTCATCTTTTTAGCTAAACACCAACAGCTTTTACATGTTTGAATCAAAAGGCAGGTAACACATCTGTTAGAGCTTCTAGTCACCAACCCAAATTCAGCCCAAACATCTGTAGCATTAGCTGGCATTCAATCCAATTTCAGAGACATACAATGCACTTTCCATAGAAGAGGCTGTCTCTTAAGAATATGCAAAGTAAGATTAACAGCAGGTAAAACCCTATGGCTCAGAGCTTCTGCCTCAGCAACAGCTTTCGTTAGAAAGGGCTTTCATTACAAAAAGAAGTCCAGCACAATAGAATGGCTGTAAATTTGGAGATCTAAGTCTTGACTTCCACATTAAGGTCTAGTATTGACCTCATCCTTACAAGGTTTTTTCCTCTAAGCTATTTTACACGTAAAGCAGTGAAACATGTTTTCTACTATGCCTCACTGTCTCAGTACTTCAAATATCCTCAATACCTTCACACAATTTTGTCTGATTATTTCATCAAGGTGAGGGACTGAAGGTCAGAGGTGCATGAAATCATAGGCCCCTGGAATTAACTGATAGCTGGTATAACCCTAAAAATTCAGAAAATCTTTTAAAATATATATGTGCATTTACAGAAAGCTAGATGGGCCCCATATAAATAGGCAGGCAAGCAATTTTAATTTAGTTTAAAAGCACTAGATACACAAATACTACCTCTACTACTAAAACCCAGCAGCATTAATTACACAGTTTTTTACATGGAAATACACAATCATTATGCAGAAAAATCAGCAAGTGATAACTGAACTGACAGCCTAGGAAGAAAGTACAGCTCCTTCTGCAGAAGTGCAGATACTACTACATTTCTGTTGTAAATTTCAACAGAAAGAAGAGAAAAAAATATACTGCAAGCCATTCTGATATGAAAATTTAAAGGGAAACCTCATTTATTTAGAAAATCATCTAAAGCATAAAGAGAATTCAGTTTATTTTATAGCTAGAAAGCACTACAAGCTTATCTCTCTTGACATCCTTTATGCAACAGGTAATGAGTGATTTACGGCATGATCAGTAACAGGGATTAATTCATGAGGTCACAGCACGTGAACAAGGTTGTGATTATAGTGGGCAGACTTACATCTGGAAAACAAACAAGTTTATTATTTCAGATATCAGAAGTCCAGTGTAAGGCTTCCTGCACAACTAACTGACGAATGCTGTAGATTTCTTCTTAATTCTAAGAATTTGAGGGTGTGCTGTGCACAGGTTTGTGATTTATTTTATAAATGAGATTCAAAAAACCATATTCACACATACATATGTATAAATATTTATAATTACATAGTATGAGAGGTAACAATTTTTTAACTTTTCATTTGAAAATTAAAAATAGCAAAATATGAATGTATTGCTTTTTTCTGAGACAAGACATGCAATTCAGAAATGTGGACATGTTTTATTTATTTTTAGTAAGAAATATTGGTGAGATTTTGTATCTCGTTTCCAACAAAACTGCTCGCACAATATAAAGCTCAAGATTTTTTGCAATGATAATGTTCCCAATTCTAAAATATCTACAAAAAATCCACTCAGAAAAAAATAGTACTGAAACCATTTAGCAAAAAATAGAATTGATGTCATTTCAATTTGCTTTAGCGTTTTCAACTTTTGCTCTTCTTGTAAGTTGAGCTCTGCGAGGTTTGATTCTGTTCCTTATTTCTCTGCCTCTTCTTTCCAAGAATAGTGCTGTCCTGCTTGAAGTAAACACAATTTGCTCACCTGACTTCTTCCTGACCCCAAACCATGGCAAACTTATTTCCTCCCTTTCAGTTTTTTTTTCATGTATACTCTTTGTTGTATATTCTTGTTACCGCAAAGGTTCCATGAATTGTTTTTCAAGGAAGACAATTTGTACAACAGACTGCTACAAATATCAGCAATACTACATTACCAACATACCAACCACCTTTGCTAGAAATGAATGCATAAATACTTTTAACCGCTATGTTAATACTTCTGCAGTGATTGAACTGTCTATACACAATACTTAATGAGATGTATCCCATGAATGAATGTGTTCAAAAGGTGCTTAGTAAAATGCTAGAGAAGGCCAAAATCAGCAGATGCATAATGAACATAAAATCACGTGTCTTGCCACAGAGAAAACACGTGGTGCATTAACATCAACAGAACGTAAGGATACTTTGTTTTGCCTAGATGTGGCAGAAAAATATGGAAGTAGCATTTATTCAGAAGCATAGTCTGATTGTAGCAAGCTCACAAGCAACCAAAAAAATCACATTTTTCAAACTTTTTCATTAGGAGGGAAAACAAAGGCAAGATTAAATAATTCATAATTCAAGAAACTCTAAGTTATGCTCATAGTTAACCAAAAGCATTTACGTGCTGTTACTTGACCCAGGAATACTTATTTTGTCTACAAGCTCTCTGAGCCAATGGCCTGTCAGAAATACCTGATATACAACGGCAGGCTGGCAAAACAAATATCCATCAGGAACAACTGCTGGTCAACACACAGGTGCTACTCATCTATCCTGTTATGAAAGCAGTTAAAGCTCTAGTGAGACTATTTTTCATCCAGAGGAAAAAAGGACACACAAAGCATAGGATGAAACAGCAAGCAAGCATGAGAAGTACTGGCCTTTATCAATAACAACTTCAAACACTGAAACAAGGTCAACAGTAACAAAAATTCACAACCGTTGATTATAATTCTCACACTGAGATCCATCTTTGGTACAAGCTGAACTTTCATAGATGTTCAGGACAGCACCCAGGCCAGGAAAGAGACACCAGTACTCTTAGCATCACATTAATAAATATTTAGGTATCTGCCTCCTAGGTTGGTATAGGTAGCTAGGTTCTCTTCAAAGAAAAAAAATGTACAAGAGTCAGAGTTCAGACAGGGTTCCCATATCTTCACCTACAGTAGTTCAAAACCTTACCATTCACAATAATCTGCCTCACCCCTCTGCGAGGGTTTACTTTCCTGTGCACCTTCCCAACTAGACTGTGGCATTCATATTTCAATCTAATCACTTCCAGTAAGAGAAGCTCGCACCAAACCACCAGATTGTAAGCCAGTGAGCATGAGATACTGATAGAAACATCCTGTCAGAGAGTGTTTATGTCTGAAAACCACAACTAAGTCCACCAGAACGTGACAGAGTCTTTCTCAGCACAGAACTGATTAGCGAGGTCAACAGGGAATGCTAGAGAGAGCAATGGATCTCAGTTTTCATGTCTCTCCCTGCTTGGGAACTGTATTCACTAATTCTTCTATATGAGAAAAAAATGACACAGACAATCCTGGAACTGAGCTCTGAAATCCAGGTACTTCCAAGTGAAATGTTAAAACCACAAAACTGGAATGTCAGGTAATACTGTCATATCCATCATCAGGGCTTCAGAAGAGACGCAAGGGGTCTTCTGAAATCTGAACTGAGCCCAAGGTGTTATTTTTGCAGTTTTGCTTAACTCAAAACAGAAGTAAATTCTATTGCAATGGTATTAAATTGAATCAACAAATGTGCTGGGTTGTCTGGCACATTTTCAAAACCACAGTTTTGAAGACAGATTTCGGCTGCTGTGTGCAGCTGATTACTATATAACTGATTCATGCCAAACCTTACCCAGGCCAGTAGTACTGACCATAATCTGAAATGAAGATAATAAATCAATTTTATTAATACAGTGTTAATTTAAGAACAAAAATAGTATTTTCACATATTATACCAGTCAACTCTTACCAGCTTTGTAGGATCGTATTTCACATAAGGGACACTGAAACCCCTCCAAATAATGAGCTTGAATTCATATTCTCTGACTTTTATCGGTTACCGAAGGAAAGCTGAAGAATGGACTTATGCTACCTACAGGAGGAAAAATGAGAGGTGGGAAAAGGGAAGCAAGCCGGTCCATCCAAGGAAAATGCAGACTAAGATTTATAGCTGTGCTCTGACATACCAAATGCAGGTATTCAGACTGGCACAGTCATATGGAAGAAACAGAGCAAGATGACAATTCTGTGCTTCATTCATTTAAAGTATTTGCAAAGATACAGCCAGAGCCTGGTTTATTGTTCACTTCCTACAAAACAGTGTTTTCAGTTCTAATGGGCAATGAATTGTTGAATGAAATAATAAAAACTATGCTGAAATACCTAATTTGCTCCTCCATAAATCCAGAACTTTTTCATTGTAAAAAAGCTGTAATGTTCCAGCAAAGCAGAGCTTTACTGAACCAGGTTGGGGCTATGCCATTTATCCCTTAGCACGGGCCCAGCAGTTTTATCTTCACAATCAGAATGCTAAGTAGGAACTACTTAATGGATGAAAATGTAATACATTCCCTTCCAGAGTAATAGATGCAGTAGCATTCACTACTTGTTATTGGTCCAGCAAACTAAAAAGTGGTGCATGTGGATTTTAGCTCAGGCTTTGCCTATGTATAAGACAACATTAAGCTAATAGAATTAATCACTTAAAAAACAAAGCAAATCCCAGTAACACAAATTAGACATTTATGCCCATTTACATGATAAATGTAAGATCTCAAACAGTAGGTTGTTACCTTTCAGTCAGCAAAATCCACTGCAAGCAGGAGAAAGGGGAAGTGGGCTTAAACAATTCAGCAAATACCTCTTCAGTTATAACATCAACATGACTGTAAATCCCCCAATTACAATTTTTTAAGATCTGTTATGCTATGCAGCTGCTCTTCCAAGTGATATGTTTAACACATAATCATCAAATAAAGCTTTCAAATAAGTTCTGCTGGAAATTTTGTTTAAAATAATACAAGAAGGAAAGATTATTTCCACCAGAGCGCTTACTGATCACGCAAATCCTGCTGTTAGCACTCTGGTCGTTAACTAAGCCCTGCCGAGATCCCACGGGCGGTAACAGGGCTTACGAGCATCTGCTGAAGGCAGGGCCCGGCTGGACCGCAGCGCCCTGCCCGCACCGCGCCCCGCACCGCCCCCGTTCCGCAGGACACGGGCCGTGCCCGCTCGGACCGGGCGGGCGAGAGCCGCCAGTGCCGCCCTTGGCGCACCAGGAAATAGTTATTCCTAACAGTTACTCCTAACGCTCGGTCAGCAACTTTCCACACCGCACGCAAAAAGCGATATTAAAAACCAACCAACCAACCAACCATATATATATATAACGCCCCCCACCTCCGTTTCAAACCCTGTGAGAATCCAGTATTTCTCAGGAAGGGAAGGAGGGGAAAGGCAGCACCGGCTCCGGCTGTCCCAGTACCGCGCCCGGCACTCGGGCACTTCGCGGCGGGGACGAGCTGGACATTTTTTCTGACCTATTTTCGGCGTCGCCTCGGAGCGATAAACAATCAAAAGCGGTGGCGAAACGCTGCCCAGGCAGGAACTTCCCCAGTCACGAGCCGCTCCCGGGGGCAACAAGCAGCCCCCGGCAAGGGCTCAGGGGGACCGTCCTCTGCCCCGCGGTGGAGGGGGGCGAGCCCGCCGTGCCGAACGCCACTTAGCCGGGCTGGGGGGAGGCTCCCGAGGTTTTCCTGCCAGGGTGCGGGGAGGGGGGGGTCAGCCCGACACAAACAAGTGCCCGGCCCGCCATGCCGGCGAGCATGCCGCCTGTTCCAGTCCTGCGGTAGGGGTCGGGACACGGTCCTGCCGCTCTGCTCCACCGCCCCCGCGCCCCCCTCGCCGCTCCCCCGCACCGACCTGGGACACAAAGGAGCGGCCGCCGATCGCCCGCGCTCCCCGCGGAGTCCAGGCCGCGGCAGCACCGGGATGGCGTAGCGCAGGCATCCGACGCCAGCGCCTGCTGCTCCCGCGGCGGCCCGAGCCGCCCGCGCCCGCGCTGCGCTGGGCGGGGAGGGGAGAGAAGGAGGGGGGGCCCTGGGAGCCGGGCGCCGCTTCCTGCGCTCCGGCGCCGAGGGGCGGCGGGTGGTGGAGCCGCCGCCGGGGGGCCGCGCTCGCCGCTAAGCAGAGGCCGGCGGCAGCGGCCGCATCCTCGGCTCCTCCGCCGGGCTTTCCGCGCCGCCTCCCTCCGGCTCCGAGAAGTCGCCCGTGCGGCTCCTGCGGCGGCCGCTCCTGGCAGCCGGAGCCGCGGCCTGTGCTCCTGCTCCCCCTGCCGCCCCGCCGGGCCGGGCTCCTCCCGCCGCTCCTCGGGCCGGGCTGGGGCGGCCCCGAAAGGCCGGGAGACCCCCGGGGGCGGGAGGAACTGACCCACTCGGGCTTGCCCCGGGGTGCTTTCCTCCCGCGGCCGCTCCCCGGGAGTCCCCTTCGTGGCGCACGCTGGAAGGCGGGGGAGGCCTCCCTTCCTGCGGCGGCCGCCAGCGCTGCCTGCCCGGCACCCGCGTCCCGGCTTGGGCGCGGGGCCGTGCAGGGAGCAGCCCGCGGGGGAAAGGCTCCCCAGCGTGGTGGGGCAGCGGAGGGACACCCTGAGCCCTGGGGCACCTGCCAGGCTGCGGGACTGGAGATAATGAGCCCTCGTGGGGAAGAAGTTCTCATTCCTGGAGTAAGACCTTTTAGCAGTACGTGGTACCAAAATGGAAGTAAATTGACTGTAAGCGGTACTAATAAAACTGATGGTCTTTAACACTGAGGAGAAGGGGCGCTGGGTACTGCGGTCTCATTAACAACAGTGACATGTAGCTTGAAAATTCGTTCGTTCACAGGATTAACAAGCAAAATGATCCTGTGTCTGAAGAAAAATCTTATTCTTCCTCTTCTATCTGCTTACCTTTATCGAAAAAAATAAATCTTGAATGTGAAGAAAACTTGTGTAAAGATAGTTTTCCAGACTCCCAGACTCTGAAAGCCAAACCTAACTCTACAGCTGTTTTACAGAGAGAAATTACAAAGCAGAGGATTTGCTTTTAGTTGAGGGGGTCTTTCAGGCCAGTCAGTGCAGAAATTTTATCTGGTAGTCTTTGAATAGAATTCTTTCAATAATTTTGTCACCAATTGATTTAGCATCCAGACATGCAGGCAGAAAATTGAGTGTCAAAGTAGTGAGCCCGATTGATGCTGGGTTGGGAAAAACAACAGAGGGATGAGAAGCTGATGGCCGTGGAGTACCAAAACCAGCTTTGTGAGACATCCTTGTGAATTCTCAGCATCTGCTTGCTTCTGTAAAATCTGTTTGTACTGATCACTGCTGGCAGAAGCTTACTGCAGGCTGAACTCACAGTTATTTAGAAATTTAATTTTCGTGACAGAGATGTCAGTTCATGGGAGATTAATGATTTAAATGAAACTTGCATCTGATTTATCAGGGCCATGTGAGTGTCTCAAGGCTTTTTAAAAAGGCAGTTTTGAAAGCATCAGTGGCTGCTATTTTGCTTTTTTACCCTTGGTTATTTTGGGGTAGGCTTGAGTAACTGCTTCATGGTCCTGCAGAGTCAGATCTGACAACAGAAAAACCACTGGAGCGGTTTGTGTGTGGCTGACAAAAGGACCCACCAGGCCTAAACACAACACACCTCAAACCTATGTCAGAAATACAGCAGCTTTGTACTAAAAGATGCTCAGCACCAGTGCCTGTGGGTCTCATTAGAGACAGATTTTGTTGATGTTCGGGTTGCTGAATAGTCCAGAAGCCAGCCTGACAGTTTGGATGGGCTTTATATATTTGTACAGATAAATACTTGTTTGGCTCGTAATTTTCGTTACTTTAACTCTCCTTAACCTTGACTGGACTTTTGCTAGTAGGGGAATTTGTCTTGAAGGCTTGTTTCCTGTTAAACGGAGGAAGCCTTTCTTGGCAACAGTCTTGTCGCCTGCTATGAGCAGAAAACTGGAAGCTTGTTCCCATAAATGGCAGAGCTCCCATTAGAGAAATTGAATTTCTTCCTTCACCAAAATCCACTTGTGAAGATGTATCATCAATCAGCCCAGCTGCCAACTATGCCCTTCTTTTGCATGTGGCAGTGAGTACGGGAGTGGGGTCCACTGACACCTACTGCACACTGCACATGGCTTTCTGGTGCCTCCCTGTTTGTTCATGTAAAGAGGGATGGTGTGACAGCCCTTCTGAATGAAGGAACCTTGGGGAACAGCAGCTTCTTCAGTGTCTGTGCAAAGCTGCCCTGGTTTCCAGATTTTTAAAGTTTGGGTGCTGTACATAAAACAACTGCCACAAAAAGGGTACCCTGTTTAAGACTGGATGCACTGATAAGCATTACTTATTAGAGATACCTAATTATGAATTATGGACTATCATCACTAATAACTAACATATGGATGCCTGGAAGTAATTAATTGCTTAGATATGATGTAAGAGACCATAGAAACTCACTTCTGCAGTTCAAGTTCTGCTGAAGCTCTTTTCCATGTGAAAATAAATTAAATCCTTAGCTCGTGTTGCTGAACTGAGCATTTTTACTAGTCCAGGATTTTGTTAAAAAATATAAATATGTCTGCATGACTCAATACAGCACTAATACTGGCCCTCTAGCTAGCACCAAACTCATACAGACTACGAAACAAAAGCCGCGTAGCCACCAATACCTGAACTGAGAAGCAGGACTGGGAACCCAGATGTAAAGCCCCATGAAAGCAATAGTACTGCTTCCAGTTTCAGAGCAGCCCTAACCAGTGGTAACCTGGGGCTCTTTCTGCACTGCTCCTGTGTGTAGTATAGCAAGCACAGTGTGGGAGAAGAATAATGTGTTAAAGAGCCAGTGAAGTAGAGTGGAGCCATATAAGTCTTGGAAAATTGGGTGAAGCTTAATCTTGGTTCCTGGGAGGAGAATACGCAATGGATATTCTGACAAGGAAGCTTGGTAAGAGTATGCACAAGTGGTTGGTCTGTCAGGAGGCCATTCAAGAAGAATGTCTGGAAATAAACAGTTTTTCTGCAAAATCTGTAAAGGTGGACAAAAAGAAAGGTTGGCTCCCAGAAAAATTACAAGAGCAGGAAAAATTAGACATAGAATAGGATGATAAAGATTGCCAGGTTTGGAGTGAACATTATATCACAGGGATGGTTCATGAATTACTGTGTCCAGGGTTTAAAACTGAATTTAAAGTATAAGTGGAAGAATGATTTCGGTCAGAAAAGCAGCTGTTGATTGTGCTTGTTTGCTGTCAAAATATGGAAAAATGCTGAATGAACGTTCAACTGATTGCTCAATGAAAATAAAATTCTAGACAACTGCCAGATTTGGCTCTGTGCCCCAATGAATATCCAGATATAGGATACACAGCACTAAGCATGTTCATTTTTGGATAACAGTTTTGTGTGAAACATCCTCTGCAATGGCTTTAATCATAAGAAAACATAGAAACTAATTACATTTTGAGAACAGTTTGATAACTGTGTGTTGAAAACAGTGAATGAAAAGATGCCTCTGTGTACAGCAAGGGATTGCAAAGTTCTCATTAGAATATATAATTACAAAATCATAATTAAACTAGTATGCTACTAAAGTAGAAAGTGTTACAATTGCAATGTTATTTTTTACTTTAAATAATACGATCAATACAATATAAAGTAGCTTTTAAACTTTATTACATAATAAATGGATGCAATATTTGTAGGATTCAAAACAGATTGGTTAAAAGCTGCTTTTTAACAATTGTGATTGTTTCCTACTATGACAAATAATGGTAGTTTTTTTTGTCATTTGGGGATTGCACAGCCAAAGGCGTGAAGAATCATGAATCACATACAGAGAACAAACTAGTGATATAGAAATGTGGCAACAGAATTTAAAGGGTCAGCCTCCACTTGTCAGCAGAGGCTCTCTAAAGGCTGCTCAAAATGGGGAACTCAGTGCTGTTGCTACCTTCAGCTTGCATGGTGTTAGGTTGATGCAAAAATAAGGAACTGCGTTTTTTAACGTGCAGCATGCTAACGGTAATTTAGGGAACACTTCAGATCACTGCTGTAGTCCATGGTTTCATAGACAGCAACAGGAATTTGGGTTTAGATACCCTAACTAAGGGACCTTCAGGAAGTGTCAAAGTGGCTAGAGACAGGATTAAATGAACAGACACAGGTTAGGTGTTGAAAGTGTGCAAGTAAAGATTGGAACAGGTAAAGAATTAACGCAAGGAGATCAATTATTGAGAAGTTGAAGTTATAGAGGGAGAGGAAATGATCCAAATGTGGAAGTACACTCAAAAGGGAAAGGGGAAGCAGATGAGCCACTAGAAGTTTGCAATATAAGGCTTGCAGAAAAAAATAAAATATTTAAAATACAACATGGTAATTACCCTTCAAAAACAGAAGAAACAAGGATATGGAAAAAAGACGGTCCATAAGATATTAGAACAAAACACTTATAGCCACTTAGAAATGCTGGGGAAGACAGATTGTACAAGGAAAACTGCATTTGGTTTTGCTTTTCTTTACAAGTGTAATAAGAAAGAACTGCAGGAGTCAAGGGCACAGCATATGTTACATAGTGCTTATCAAATAAAAGACAATGAGGGAAGGAGATGTAAAAAAGTAATTCTGAGTCTCTTAGCTAGGCCTTAAGAAAGTAATTTACTTGAAGATTTGTTTAAAAACTCTAGGGCCAAGAGAGGCTACAGAAGATAATTTTTCATTAACTGTCATTGCTGTTTAGCAAGTTATGATGTATCAAAGCTAAATATCTCCATGCAGTAACACTTAATAATCATATCAACATTAACAATTTCAATTCTTCCCCTTTTGGGGAAGGCAGCAATAGGAACTAATTACACCTTCCTCAGTGCAACAGCAGTACTTTCTCAGCACCTTCTCCTAGACAGTGATGAGAGCGTAAGTGCCCTGTTTGCAGGGTGTGGGTACTCTCTTCCGTGGGGTCTCTGAAAATAGTTTTCTCCAGGTTTTTCCGTCACCCCGTGGGAGTGATGGGGCCTTGTGTCTCTGCCTCCAGCTGTACCCGTATTGAAACTGCTCCCTCCATCTCTGTGACACCCAGGGCCTGGTCCTGATAACACACAGCCGTGCAGGAAGCACTCTCACCTGTGGTCAGGTCATATGTCAAGAGATTTCTGCCTTGGAGCCTGCTGACTTGGCTGTTGGAAGGATATGCCATGGCCTAGAGGGTCCAACCTTAATTTCCTTTTACTCAAATCACATTTTAACTTTATTTATATTGCACTTAGCAGTAACAGTTTTCTTGTTACACTCTGTTTTGAGTACCATACACCATATAATTATAGCATTGTTAAGGTTGGGAAAGGCTTCTAAAAGCATCAGGTCCAACTGTTAACCGTGTTCA